GACCTGAGCTGAAGTCAGATGCTTAACCATCTGAGCCACCCAGGGACCCCTCTAGGTCTTGGAATTCTGCACAGAAAGAGGCGCCATTGGCATCCCATATTTCTTCATATCCCCTTTCACTGCATTTACTCACTTTCCTTAAGATCTAGCACCTGTGGGGGCACCTGGGTGGCGCAGTCGGTTAAGCGTCCGACTTCAGCCAGGTCACGATCTCGCGGTCCGTGAGTTCGAGCCCCGCGTCAGGCTCTGGGCTGATGGCTCAGAGACTGGAGCCTGTTTCCGATTCTGTGTCTCCCTCTCTCTCTGCCCCTCCCCCGTTCATGCTCTGTCTCTCTCTGTCCCAAAAATAAATAAACGTTGAAAAAAAAATTAAAAAAAAAAAAAGAGTAATGCTCTACTTAGCCATTTGGCTTTGTGCTCTTCACCAGTTTTGGAAGATTTCGCCTTGGAGCAGTGGGGAGAACAGCTTTGTGTGGAAGAGAGCCCTCCATTCCTCTAAGGAGGCTCTCAAGCCCCTGCATTTATATCTGGAGACCCAAAATTCTTCCACCTGACACATGACACCCCCCCCCTTGAAATTGTAGGTTTCCTGCCATCAGAATATGAAATATTTGGACTATCACAAACATACTCCACTCAAGTCCATCACGTCTTGGGATGAAGTCTATGATTCAGCATCAACAGAAATTCTTGGACCTTCACACCCAGCAGATGAGGAACAACAACAAAAATAAAGAACGTTCAATATTTGTCCACTGGTAGTGAGATAGCAGTTGGTACTATTTTCAACTCCTGTAGTTGGGAATGATAAGGGTTACCACATGTTGAGTTAACTTACATGTTTCAGAGCCTATGCTGGGTTTCTTGATATTCTTTATCTCATTAAATATGCATGTTACCCTTTTGAGGTTGGAAATAAAGTTCTCTGATATATAACAGAAAACTCAAGATTTAGAGAATGGATTTGACCCATGTGAGGTGTCAGAATCTTGAGGGGGGACAGGGATCCATAAAATGTTCATATTAATGGGTTGGTCAAGTAGAAATTCTCAAGGAACAAAGGGTCTGGACAGCATTTCAAGGACCGTAATCAGGAATCTCAAGTTCTGAGCTTGTGCCATAGCCTCACTTATATATCCATTGATCTGACGCACATTTCCTGAGAACTCTCTTTGTGCGGGAGCTGTGAGCACAGCCGTCAAACCTGACACGGACTTAATTCATGCAAGTTGAGTGTAGAGACAGGAAAATGGATACGTATGCAGTGTGACAGTCTCAGTTCTAGATAAAAATAGGTGCTTTGGGGGCATGGGAGAGATATCTTAAGTCAAACTGGAGGGTTTGGGGGACTTTTCTGGAGGAGCCCTGAGGAACAAGGCAAAGTATGGATAAAGAAGTGAAGAAGACAGAACCTTGTGGTGGCGTAGGGGCAGAGGAGTTGGGGCAAGGCTGACACCCAGCCAGGATACACACTCAGATGGCTGGACCATTTGTTCACAGCCCACATCTCTGTCGGCCAGCAGTTGCCTCTCTGGCTACTGGTCCAGCTCATAAATGCTTATTCTGTACTGGTTGTTAAATGTCTTCAATGACATGTTGCAGCAAAGGAAAGAAGAAATATGGATAAAGACCAAAGTAGGAAAGAAATACTCCATGGCCATGCTGTTAACGAAGGAGATATGTTTGGGGAAGGCCAGCGAGGTTAAAACTTTGCATTAGGCAGGCACAAAAATGCTTAAAGCCCAGAAGAGACAGTGCAATCTGTCTGCGGGAGAAATTTGACATCTGCCTCCCGCCTCCCCCAGGAAGTTTCTCCGAACCCAACGCAGCTGTCTTGCGGTGAACCCCCCTCCCCGGGCACAACACAGAGCTCACACAGCCCAAGGTCAAGGTCAGCTTTCAGCTCTACCTGTGGCCAGCCCATCCCTTGGTTATTTGCCCAGCAGTCACTGTGTTCCGAACCTTCTCCTGTGTTCCTGACTTGAAGCCCTGTTCCTTGAAGTTCCTGTTGTATTCTCTTCCTGCAAAGCCAGCCTTCAGTCAGGAGGTACCCAATAACCACCAGGACCAGGAAAGCCAGACCCATCCGAAGGAGATTCTGGGCAGTGTGATTCCAGAGGGCAGGGTCTGGGGGCAGAAAAACAGAGTGGACACTGTCAAACACCGCCTCACCTCATCTCTGTCCCTCATGTCCTTTCCAGATCACACTCTTTCACAGCCTGCAGCCCCCCTCTGCTTGCCTACCTTGCTGGACTGCTGTGTTCGTGGTTAGCAGGTGGGGGTCCCAAAAGTCTGCGGATGACAAGGAGAGTGAAGAAGGGGGCAAGAGAGAGATGGTACTGACCCCTTCAGTCCCAGCCTCTCCTGCCCTCAGAAGGACCCCATGGCCCTCTGCAGCCTTTCTAGGTCCCCACCCCATGCTTCTGGTCCTCGTGGATTCATCTGGCAGGTAGAGAGGAAGAGCCAAGGGGCAGGTGAACCCTGAGGGGGGAATTCAGCCCCAGGACTTTGAGCAAGGCATGTCTTATGTCTGAGCCTCAGTTCCCTCATTAAGTCGATCAACATGGCTTCTCGTTCCTCATCCCACTGGCCATCTCACTGTCTTGGGGTAAACACAGTGGCTGATCCCTCTCTCTGGAATGTTCTTTCTCTGCATAGCCACAGGACCAACGCCCTCAGCTCTCTCAGATATTTGCTCTGTGAGGCTGATTCAGACAACTCTATTCAATATTGCCATCTGCCCACGCCCCCCCAAGTCACTATAACCCCATTTGTTCTTTGTCTGTCGTCCACACCACTGTTTGCTCCTCGTGTGCTATGTGATTGGCTTCTTTATCTGACTTTGACTTATGGTCTGTCTCCCGCTGGGATGAAAGCAAGGATGCTTGTCTGCTCGACCGCTGGTGCTGCAGGTCACGGCAAGTGCTGTGCAGTCAATGGATATTTTGGGTGAACGCCATGTTTGTGCTGTCACTGGGAGGCTTTGATCCCTCCTCCAAGTTTACATTTTTTTTTTTAACGTTCATTCAGTTTTTGAGAGACAGAGCATGAATGGGAAAGGGGCAGAGAGGGGCGCCTGGGTGGCGCAGTCGGTTAAGCGTCCGACTTCAGCCAGGTCACGATCTCGCGGTCCGTGAGTTCGAGCCCCGCGTCGGGCTCTGGGCTGATGGCTCAGAGCCTGGAGCCTGTTTCCGATTCTGTGTCTCCCTCTCTGTCTGCCCCTCCCCCGTTCATGCTCTGTCTCTCTCTGTCCCAAAAATAAATAAATGTTGAAAAAAAAAATTAAAAAAAAAAAAAGAAAGGGGCAGAGAGAGGGAGACACAGAATCTGAAGCAGGCTCCAGACTCCAAGCTGTCAGCACAGAGCCCGACTCGGGGCTCCAACTCACGGACCATGAGATCATGACCTGAGCCGAAGTCAGACGCTCAACCGACTGAGCCACTCAGGCGCCCCCCTCCTTGAAGTTTACAAGTACTTGTTACTTACCAGAAAAAGAGGTGTGTTCTGTGGGTGCAAGGCTGGTGTCCCCAGCATCTTCTGGTAACGGAAATGAAGAAAGCAAGTAAGGGTTTGGGGTTTCCTCTGGCCTTCCCACCTGGTCTCTGTACCCTCCCCCCATCCCTCTGGCCTTCTTCCTCAGGAACAATCGACAGAGCCTCCGGAAAATGCATGTGGATGAGGGCATTGGTGGGAGGACACTCTAAATCTTCCCACCTGTCCCTTAGCTGCCTTCCTCGTCTCTGGTTGGGGTTCACTCGGGGTTCTAAAGAGCACGTGGGGGAAATTTGAGAGCTTCCTCACCTGTGACCAGGAGCTTCACAGGCTCACTGGGGAAAGACCAGGCGTGGTTGTTATAAGAGCCAAAGCATCTGTATGTCCCTCTGTGGGCTGTGCTCACAGGGCCCACGGGGAACCCCACCTGGGTGTTCCCGTATCTGGGCTGTGGGCGGCTGGATCTTCCCTCCTTGAGCAGAAAGAACATGTTTGTTGCAGTCTCTAGACGGCAATAGAAGGTCACATTATCTCCTGAGCTCACCTCAGGCCTGGGATGAACAGAGAGGGTGGGTGTGTCATACATTTCTGTGGGAGAAGGAGACAGGTAGGTTAAAAGTCATTATCCCGCTTCCCATATCTCCCATCCCCCCT